ATAGTATCCAAAATGATATACGAATTAGGGTTACATCGAAAAGTCAAGCATAATCTGATTAGTGACGAAGTCAAAGAATTGAGAGATATGGCATTTTGGGGGTTCTTTGCTTCTGAAACGTGAGCCTTTACACTTTTCGGTGATCTTTTTGGGGTTTACAAATTAATTATCAACCATTTCGGTTTTAGTTGGGTTTCAGCTTGTTATGGTCGTCCAAGCGCTATTGATGAATCTACATGCGATGTTGATCTCCTTCCAATACCGCCTGATCAAGATCCAGATGAAGAAACACGATTGCATATAGCTTGGATCTTACATATTAATTTATTGCGCATTTTTGCTCAAGTGAGTCATTTGATTACTTTATCAACAGGTACTCAAAAAGACACACACATATATATTTTTTTTTAGGTTCGAAAATATTTATATGGTTGGTCAAAAATTGCTGGCAGTCCTCGAGAGGAAAATCAATTTCGTTTTTTAGATGCAACATTAGGAAAATGGTTTTATACTTTACCACATTGGTTAAAATTTGAAGAAATGGCACAAGATCCGAAAGGAAGCTTGTTAGGTGCAATTGGAGGTGATCATGAAATATTACTTTAATTTTTATCTTTAATTTTTATTAAACTTATTGTCTTTAGGACTTTATTAATTATTAATGTTTTCTTAATAGGGGAGACGCATACTCTTTTTTGGACAGTACTTATTCTTCTTCATAGTCGCAATCTTACCATGTTCACTTCAAATCATCCATTAGATGATTCTTTAAGATTATCTTCTCAAACTATTTGTGTTCATGCAGCAATAATTCTTCTCCATTGCCTTGACGTGATTATTAATACTGTACCAGATTTTTATGAACAAACTTGCACTGCACTTTTTTCGTTTGCACCTGCCATACGTGTATTATCATGGACTGCTCAACGTGGTGATTCGAAAGCAGCACTTATGGTACAAAGATTAAAAGAGATTAAAAAGGATGTTGCAGAAATTGCAAGGCGAAGATTTGTTGATCAACCCACAGGTGAAGGTAGATTAGATGGTGAAGAAAAATTAAAGGGAAATTTAACCATAATGAAGGCGTACGAGGAACATGTGATGTATGATTCTGAACTACAAAAGGATAATTTATATGCTAATAACAAAGATAAGAAATATCGAAAGTCTCCTAAATTACCTATGTGGGGTGATGATAAAAGTAACTTTACTTTTACTTTCAATTTACCTGATAACTTTAATAATTCAACTTTACAGTATTTAACGCCACAACATTCTGTTGACGGGGATCAACAAGATTTTCAACAAAATTTTCAACAATCGACTAATGATGGTTCAATTGTTCCAAATATTTTTTATGATTCTACTTCATCTCCAAACAATACTTCTACTTCCATTTTTACAAGTCCTGCACTGTCGCAAAGTTCCGATTTATCTTATCAACAAACACATATGCCCATTTTTAACAACAATAACTTTAATTTCAATAGTCAATGATGGTTAATATCATGAATATATTTATAAATTTTCATTTTTTCAATTTTGGTACGAATTAGAGAGGCAATTTATATTAGTATTTATTTTTTTATTTATAAAAATCCAAATACAAATTGTATAATAAAGGAACCTTTTTTTTTTTTATTCAAATTTATGTGCCGTTAAAAATATCCGATTTAAATGTGTAACCTTTCAAATGCTAATGGTATTAATCTTAAATTTATCCTCTAATTTTGTATTATTTAAAACTGAGTCATTCGTTCGTTTTGAATTATCGTTTATACGTTTGTATTTATATGGGCTGCCGTCAATAGAATCAGGCAGATTGACATTTTAAAAAACTCCATACCTCAACTTTCACAGCTCATATCTCTATGAATTTTGAAGTTATCTTGATTATTTAATATTCAAAAGAAAGCTAGGACTTAATCTTTCTTTTGAATATTAAATTATCAATATAGCTTCAAAATTCATCGAGATATTAGCTGTGAGAGTTGAGGTATAGATTTTTTTTAAAATGTCAATCTGCATTTACGACAGCCCATATTGTGTAATCAGTTTAAAGCTTATAACTATTTTATAAATTAGAAACAAAGTATCAATTTTTTAAAGGAAAAAAAGTCTTCAAGTCATAAAGAAATTTCTTGCCATTAAAATTATTTTTAATCAAAAAGATCATTAATACCGTTACCCCGTATAAGCGCATAACAACGTTACATGAACGTTTTTTGAAATTCCACTTTTTTAAAAAAGCATATTGAACTCAAAATATCACGTCTCCACGTATGATGCCAAGTTAAGTTGCAGGAAAATTTTAGTAGCTGTAACTTTCTTCCTCAAGATTAGTATAATAATTCGAATTGCCGCGCATACACGTTCCAAAATAACGCGTAGTTGCATGTTAT